CCCCTTGGCTTCTAAAATCTCTTTCAACAAAGCATTCAAACCTTTCTTGCACACCTTTGACAAGATAGAAGCGGATTTTCAATCTTCTATCAAGGAACGTGAAGCAGAAAAATAAGTGAGCAATGAGGAATGAGCCAAATTTTAATTGTGCCACAACTTTATAGGGGTCTAAATTGATGGCCAAAAGCGACGTAAATCTTGATTAAGGTCGTATCTTTCCGGATTGATTAAGACAGGGAAGCACCGGAGCGGAAATCCTTTGATTTGGCAAGTTTTGTATTGCTTCATTTGGCTGCCATTGCACAAAATTGCACGTTGACATTTTCAGACATCCCTCTCTCCCCACCCCCTCCCCCTCCCCCCATACACACACATTCTGTTCATTTCTCTCTCTCTCTCTACCCCTCTCTCTCTCTCTCTCTCTCTCTCCCTCTCCGTGTGCCGTGTACTGTAAGCACACTGCTATAATTCTGAAGCCTACAAGTGGAGAAGTCGCAGATTTCTTACAGGGATTATCGAGAGGATTATGACGTGTCTTTCCGGACCATGACACCAATTAATTATTATGGTCAGTTGACGTCGACGGCCGATCAATGGGAACTTAAGTTGACCTGTTCATTTTTTGTGTGTGAATGAATACTTCAAACGTTTGGTGAGTTGTTTTTTTCCCACTCTTAATAATAATTTTCTTGATTGTTTCTGCTTTTGTACAGTGTAATTTCTCTTTTAAGAGAAAAGTGGTTTTTGTTATTATAATAATGCCATTAGTATTAAGTCTGTGATTTTATTCTCTGCCTCGCTTAATTTGTCAGCTAAGATAATTTGTTTAATAAACGAACTGCCTAGATCTACTTGCCTTTATCACGGCAGCCTAGAGAAAGAAAGAAGGAAAGAGAGAAAGAAAGAAGTCAACGAATCAACACGTCAACGAATGAATGAATGAATGAATGAATGAATGAATGAACCGCATTTGTATAGCCTTATCCCTGCTCAACAGCAAACTATCCGCTTTTTAAGTCTATATTATTGCCTTTGGCGTAGAATACTTAAATCATCGTGTATTGCTTTCGACCGCCACAACAGTCCTGTATAATTAACGGACTACAGTCTTGCGGCGGTCACCGCATCTTGCGAACACATTCGAACCTGCTCTAAAACAGCCACTTGTCCAAGACAATC